TTATAGTGAAAATTTGGTGGACACTAGGAAAATAGATTGTGGCTGTGATCATTAGCTTTTAAGTGATGTGTGATACAGTACACCTCCAAATACAGTTTTAAATAGACCTAAACACTCACAGTTGTATCTATGAAGTTTTATTCCAACTCTACAGGGTATGGCTGTGGATACTGAATCAGGTGTTCAAACTACACATAGAAGCTTGAAGCCACCCTGCACTGTGGTTGACCAAACAGTGTTTCTGAAGTCTGGAAATTAAGAAGTTGTGCCCTGAAAGACAGGCATCTGAAACAATGACAAATGCAATTGGAATCACCAAGATTGCATTTTTTAAACAAGAATTTTAGGCAGTCTGACCTGTGGATTAGCTTGTTCATGTGTCTGTGTCTGAAGAACCCAACCACAAATACCAGAATATATTGCATTAATTAAATGAAAATGAAGATCTGCATACGAATTAGCAGTAGCCATGTATGATTGAGAAGGAATCTACCTTGCTCTAAGCATAAAAAATCTGCTGAATTTTGGAGGAGAAAGTTCTACCTAGCACTAAAAAAGCATCTTGAGATAGGAAAAAAAACCCACACCCAAATGAATCCAAATTCCTTGTATATAGAAATATGAGGCCCTCTGAACTCAAACAATTAAGTGTTTTCTGAATAATAACTTCTGCTTTAAGTACTCTGAGATCTACATATCATCTTGATTTGAAGGAAATGTGATCTCTGACAGTAATTTGTATTATCTGATTTCCAGTGAAAAACTGAGCAATTACTACTGTTAAGCCTAATGAAAAATAGTATAATAAACTTTTCTATATGTGGCTAATAGAAATATTTGGCTAAAAATTGTTGGAAATTTAACACAAAATAAAATTTTGTGAGTGCTATAGGAAACAATAAGGAATAGTTCCTTTGGCTTTGCTCGTAAAATTCATTGATTTATATTTGAAAATACTGTATCTTGCATGAAAAGATACTGTTCTGTGAGGAATATGCTTTTGACAGAAATCATGTTTTGATTCAGCACAAAGCATTTAAAAACAAGACTATAACATACTAGTGCACAAATAGTTGTAGTATCTTTATGTGTCCATATATAGTAAGTTTCTTAGAGTATATTACAGCAGTCCTAATTTATTTCATCTGGAAATATGCAAATTTTTATTTCTGTATTATATGCAGTCATGTAACAATCCTAAAGCATTAATAGTGCCCAGTGATGTGAAGTTAAATGCTTACAAAAATGGCCTGTTAAATATAGTACAAAGAAAACAACATTCTAAGAGTTGTTTCTGCTGGAGTATAGGACATTGAAATGCTGCTAGATGATATCCCAGCTTGGGTTTAAAGAATTAATGAAGAACAAATGTTCTAACTGACATGTGAGCATGCAATTCTCTCTGTGAGTTGACCTTCATTCTTCTGCAGTTAGTTAATGAGGATTTTCTTTGTTATCTTTCTTGCCGAAGAACCTTAGGGCCTTGTATCGTTATTGAATGAACACAATGTCACCTCAGTTGGCAGAAATGTTTTGTCTTTCTTCAGGAAAAGAAGTTACCTCATGTCAGCTGGTGAAAGCACAACACAGAAACAAGCAATTGAGAACAGACATTTCAATTCAGCTAAGTTAGCCCAGTGGAGATGTTTAACCTGCTGCAGTTTTGATCAGAATAGTTAGGCGTCATTATTGTGTGACTCTTGCATCTTCATCTGAAGTTTGCAACCATTGTTATAAATTAAACAAAAGCATTTTATCTGGAGAACTGCTCACAGTTTTCCCCTTTTAACAATTAATTACCATTTGTTGCCAAACAGTATGTTGTTTTTTTTTTTTAAATGAGCTGTTAAAGAACAGCTGTTTTTTATCTGATGCAAAACAACAAGTGTATTGTAACTACCAGTGGATCTTGTAAGGTGGGGATCACATCCGCTCAGAGTACTGGAGCTGTAACTTTGAGCTTTTCTGTGAGCTGTATCATATTTAGCAGAGCTATATAAGGGGTGGAATGATAATTGCAAGTTTCATCAAGCATGAATTTGCAGATTCTACGATATACTCTTACAGGTTCTCTATTGCTCAGTACATAGATGTTCATTATACATGGCAGCAAAGCGAAGCCAAAAAAAACCCAACAAAACAAAAAGCAGCTAATCTTCTGTTGACTTCACAAACAGTGTGTGTCTGTACTTAAAAATGGCATTGGAAAGAGAAGTCAGTAATTGACAACAGTATAAGAAAATGTTATTCAGGAATCGTTCATCCAGGTTCATTACATACAGGATAGCTATGGACACGGATGTAGCAGAGATCTCTAAAGGACCTTCTGCTGAAGGAAGTACTAGGTGTGCATATAGCAAAAGTTTACTGTGAAGAACTGTGCCCTGCTATAATCCGTGTCATAAAGTAATGAGCAACAGCAAGTGAAATCTGAAATGATCTGATGTTTTCAGAGATTTTATTCTGCACTTTGCCTTACAGCCATTTTCCCTTTCTTGTGGTAAGAGGACTTGCACCATTTTAGAAAAACATACTACCATGAATCCCACTTCTTACTATAATGGAAGGGAAGGGCATTTGTACAGGTTTTATTATACCAATATTCAACTTATCCTCAGTTTCCATAAACTGCATTTTTTGAGTGGACAGGCACATATGTTTTGTTAAAGCCATTAAAATAATGTTGTATTTAATACTTCTCTAACATAAATGAAGTACAACTGTGTTACCTTCTGGTTAATAGGATACATATGTCTAATATACATTCATTTTGGAGTCCCTTAGGGGACAGCCTTGTTATTAATACAGCAGAGAACAGCTGAATGAGCATATGGTTTATTAAGATGTGCTTATATTAATTACATGTGGATACTATTTAAAAGGGTCACTGGTCTATAACTGAGTGATCTGTAGTGATCACTACATTGAACCTCAGAGCTCAGTGGGGTTAATCTTGATCTGAAAAAAATCCTGACTGGAAAAAAATGTTAGATGTGTGCCTTAAGTTAGAAAATAATGAAAGACTTAAGAACTTAGTGCCATAAAAACTCAAACAATGAGCATGCAAAAACCAAGGAAATTTTGAAGGCAACATGAAATTGCACATCAGAAGGTCTAGAGCTCATGTGTTTGTATAACACTTTATGCAGCTATCTGATCCATGATGGGACCTAACATAATGTGCATGATCAAGAAGCATCATAATTCCAGTTCCAAATTTAAAAAAACATTGAAGTCATGTCTGCAGGCCTTCCAATCCTCAGGTTGCTCAACTGATACTGAATATAACAATTCCTCCTCTGTTACTTAACACTAGTTAATATTTATAATGATTTTTATTTTTAAGGCTGTTTTTCATTTCAGGAGATGACATGGTACACACTGTGTCCTGCAAGGCACCATTTCAGCTTTCAGTGGAGTGCCAGGCAGAAGACTGTATGAGCTGAAAATAAAACAATATGGATTTAAGCTTTGAGAAGACCTAGTGCAGAACAAGCTTGGGTCTGTTCAGTTGCATTTCTTTTTCTAATCTTGAAGCTCCTTTGATCCTAGAAAAGGTGCAATCAGTGTCTAACACCTAAAATAACATGTGCCAGGTCTGCGCTGCTCAATTAATGACAAATTCTAATGTTTCTGTGATACTGCAGAAATAGAAAAAGCTGTGCTTTACCTTTTCCATCACTTGGCTCCTTAGTTAGTGCCTGATTTGCCTCAGAGTTACACAGCTGTTCAGGAAAAAAGGCACTGAGAGAAAAGTTTCCATCAGTGTTTCTTACTTATTTGCAAAAAAGAAAAAAAAAAAAAAAAAAAGAAGAGAAAAAGAATCATAGAATCATAGAATCATAGAATCACCAAGGTTGGAAAAGACCTAAAAGATCATCCAGTCCAACCGTTCACCTATTCCCAATAGCTCCCAAGAAAAGAAAAGAAAAAAGACATTGCACACTTTCTTGTGTTAGCAGAATCTGAAAATTTAAAATTAAAGAGTCAGGCCCTAGAACTCTGAAAGTAAAACAATACAGTAAGTACAATCTTAAAATAATATTTTCTTTATAATTCATTTTTATTTGCATTTGAGAAAAACTCCAGTGTACTTCCTAGTATTTCTTCTAAAGCATTAAGGGAGTGTCTGTTCATAAGTTACATTTGAATTCTTGCAATCATCATATAGTCAATCATCTGGCACTGAAGCATTAGTAGAAACTCAGTTGTGAGATGTGGCAGAACAAAAGTACGTCCAAACATACAGCAGGAAAAACAAAGTAATTAATCCCGTATTTTTGTCTCTATTACTATCTAAAAGCATTTGTGGGGATGAGGCCATTTGTGCCTCCTCTTCCCCAGCTGTAAATAGAGACTGCACAGGACCTCCATGTAAAGCATTTTATGCCTAGTATAAAAAAATGTTGCTCTTGATGTGAAGCATTCACAGTTATCCAAAACATCTGTGCCATTTTAAATCTTTCTTTTCAGAAGCATGTTCAGGAACTGTGAACTTTAAAACATCCCAACAACAAAACATAGTCCTTATTTATAAGTACACAGCTGTTGTTCTCAGAAATGATGAAGTTCAACTTTAAAATCAACCACAGAGCAGAAATCTATAGTAGTATTTTACTGTACTATTTCAGAGACGAAAAGAAAACCTGAAAGGACTCTCCCTTCAGCTGGGAAGCAAACAAGCCACAGGTGTGTGAGGGGGCAGACAACGGTGTGCTATTAGTGTGGAGCAGCAGGTGTTCAGTGTTAAGCTGAACATTTCTTTATATAAGCAGCTTGGTAGAAATAATTTTTTGTCTTCAGTTGAAAAGAGATCCAGTTTAGTTTATTTTGGCCTATCTTCTCAAACCAGGAGGGCTATAAGCAGGGTAGCCCTCAGTGTGGTTCTGGTGCAGCCTGCCCCTCGTTTAGGGGCTGTAGGACTGCTAAGCCCCAGGGCTGGGGGTGTGACCTTGCATTGGCCTGCATGGTGAGACCCCAACTGATGTGTTAGTTTGGCAGTGCTGGTCTGGAAAAGAAGACCTAAATAGCTCCCTATTGCTCAGGTAAAAACAATGATGATGATTAGTTCCAGTTTAATTTACTAGCGTTTATTTTTGGTTTAAAAGATGCTTCTAGGAGGGGCGTCACTGTTTTTCTTCAGTTCTTGTTTTATTTTTGTGTAATAAATTAAGTCAGGGTTTTGGTAATGGAGTTACCCATTGGTGTGCAGCCTGCATGGGGGTGGTTCCCACTCTTGGCAGCCCAGTGTGTGCCTGAGGCACAGGTAGGGTGTGAGACAGCGTGACTAATGCTGAGTTTAATTATCTCTTTGTTATCTCTTTGTAGCGTTTGGTTTACTTGTTGGAGAGCTTAATAAAAAACATGAAAAAAGAGATCTGGAGGGTGATGGATGTGAAAGGAGCAAGGCTGTCAGGTGCGGTTGTCTCCATGCAGCCATGTTTACATCCTGCCATAGCAGGAGAAAATACCCTAGTTAACCTGATGTGCTCATCTGTATTCATGTAGGCTAGTGTGGCTTTTCTAGGTCCATGCTGGCATTGGTTTTCTCTGTGGCTCCCTTCCGTCAAAATGGCTGCTCGCAGTGTGGTGGTGCTCCTGTGGCCTGGGTGCTCCTCGCAGTCGGTGAGGTGTTGTACTGTGGCTTGGCCTAAGTGAGCTGCTCACATGGGTGTGGAATTGTTTTTTTTTCCTCTTCTGTGTTTTGTTGTGTTTTTTTTTTTTTCTTTTTACTTTATAAAAGAGGGAATAGTGGTGTTGTGAGGGTAGTCTTTATTATAAAAAAAAAAAAAAAAAAAAAAAGAAAATAAAAAAAATTCCTGATCTCATGAAATAGACACTTGATAGGGTTAATTTAACTTTAGTGGTGGAGATGAAGGTCTTCTGTTCTATGGAAGGCAGGTGTGTTGCAAATGTGTGTTCAAGCTTCGTTTACATGTATCCAATTCTTTTATCTTGTGCTTATAACAAATGGAAATAAGAATAAAGAGGGCAACTTCAGACTCATGCTCAGAGACATCAGTTCACTGTTGGCATTTAGAAAGCCTTTCTTTCTCCAGTAACGGGTGTGAAGCAGCTGCTTTGCTGACCATGACCACAATCAGAATGCTGTTGGTCTCATTTGAAGTGGAGCTGCGTGTTTGTTTGGTCTTTTTTTTACTGCCCTCTCTGAGTGTGTTGGGATGACTTAAAGTTTGCAAGTAGGAAAATGGAGCTGTTTCATTGTTTGGTGTGGGGTAGAGAAGGTGGTTGTGATAACCCTCTGAAAGTCGTCCTGAGCTGTGATTTCTCATGTAGCCTGTAATAGTGTGGAATAGTAAAACTCAATCACTGAAAGCATTATATCAGTATGATCCTTGATTCTGCTGAGATAGGATTGCTTGGTAGGGGCTCTTTTGTTTATTTTATGCTTAAAAAAAAAAAAATAAATCCATTTTAAGCCATCACAGACTGGCCAGGGTTGGAAGGGAACCTCAATGATCATGAATCTCCAGCCCCCCGACGCATGCAGGGCCACCAACCTTCACATTCAATAGTAGGCCAGGCTGCCCATGTTTAGTCATGTTGGTTGCAATAAGTATGAGTGAAAATTAAGAGAAATATTCAAAAAAGCAGTGGTCATGTACTGCTCCCAGTGAGCCAGGGCTGTGTTCTATTGGATGCAGCATAATTTTTAAGAGAGAGCATGGTCAGCTGCTATATTCAGTGCAAGCAGCCATCTGTTACTTTCATTGTAAGGAGGAAACATATTTGGAGAAAGTTGTCCATTGTAACTGAATGCGTCTCTCATCAAGTTTTAGAGTTAGAACTCTTTGCACTCTGTGGCTGTCTTTTCTATTTTTTTTTTCCTAATAAAATTAGGAAACACTGCTGATGTCTGACATATTAAGTATCCTGCAAGTCAGAGAACAAAGCTCCAAAACGATGCTGTGGTTGGTGAAGAGCTAAAATATTCTGGGACTTGTAATCCAAAAATGCTTGAAATATAACAAGCTGAGTATTTGCAAATTGATAGAATTCCATAAAGTTTTAATAGCAAAAAAGAGCCAGGTGTTGTACTTTAATCACACTAGAAGAAGCAGCTGATGCATATTGCAACAGCAATAATTCTGGGCTAGAAGCTTACAAATAATCTAGCTACAAATTATATTGTCAAGGGAATCCAAATACTTTGTAATATGTTCTAATACATATTAATTTCAGAGCCCTATAGGGGACAGTCTTGTTATTAATACACAGAGGAGCAGATGTGATAGCATATGGTTTACTGACTTGTATTTATGTTAATTCCTTGTAAATAGGATTTTAATAAGGTGATGTTAGTCTATAGCTTCTGTTTCCTAATATCTTTATTCCTTGAAGATCATAATGGGATCACCTACACTGAGGTCTAGGATCACAGGATAGGTTAGTTGAGAGAGATCATTTTAGCTAAGATTTATAAGTGGATAAAAAATAGCAATACTTGAGCATTTTGTGATAACTTCGAAGAAAAACCCCAACCAAACAGAAAAGCACTTCAGTGATTAAATTCAATTGGAATGCTTCTAAAATGACTGCCTGACATATAATTTTACTGGTTTTAAATTCTGATCTAGGTTGATTGTTTGCAGTTTTAACTTCCATTCGACTGCCTTGGAGGAGCTTGCAGAATCTCGTAAAACTCTAAAATAAAATTGCAGTATCATTTTAAATCTGATGTCTATCGATCTTCATATACAACCCATCTATTGGTCTGGGTTGGAGAAGCTGTGAATTCAGTCCAGAATTAGCTCAGGCTTCTCAACAGCTTTCTCTGGTGCATATTTGGCTGAAATTATGCTCCCAATCACTACCAGGAATCACAACAGTCTGTGATGAAAACAGTAAAAGTTCTGTGTTCCTGAAGCAGGTGACAAAAACCAAGTGCTAATCAGCTCTAGTGCTTCAGAGTACTTGAGGAAATGTTTTCTATTCTATTAGGATTTTCTGTTTTAAACAGTTCTCACCCCCTGCATACACAGGTCTGCAGTGTTTTCAGGTCACCATGAACTTCTTTTCCTGTGGCTTCCGTAGCCATTAGCTGTTTCTTGTAACTCCTTGTTTAGAACTCTAAAGCTGTAGGTACAAGTGCAATTTAGTTATCTTCCCTCTAGTTAGAGACACGAATTCTTTTTAAAATGGGAAAAAAAGTCTAAAATTTCTGCATTTCTAATGTAAAGATCTCTGGGTTCTCTGTCTCTTATTTTAACTGGGAGTGTCAAAACAAGTTCTTTGAGCTTAAGTGCAATTTATTAAGAATGAGCGTTTTTCTCCCTCAAAGTTTCTTCAATCTGCTCTAGTTCTTTCTAAATTTCAGCAGAAAATCTCAGCTGGGAAGGGAGAAGCGCTGAAGAAAAGGATCTCTTCAGAGCAAATGGGAGAAAAGAAAACTAGTTCTCACCTTTTGAATGCTGCCAGCTTCTCCAGGTCTTCCTCATCACTGAACTTTGGGTCACAGAGAAATGCTTTACTGATCTCCTCCAGACTTCATATAGATATGTCAGTAATACTTCATTTTTCATTTTATGTGCACCAAAGTGAGCTAAGGACTCTGATTAGAATATCCCTAGGTATCAGACTCATGAGAGTATGTTTTCAATAAGTAAGCTAACAATAGGATTTTGTAGGTTGGAAAAACACTAACATGACAAAAAACACTGAAATGAAACTTCAATGAATAATCTTGCACAAGCTCATGCTACTTATTTCTGTTCTCCTAAAGGCTTGGGGGTTTTCTAGGAGACCCAGACTCTGACCCCCCCCCCCCCCCACAAATAAAAGTCTGTATTGGGCTACCAGAAACACTGTATGAGTGCTGTGCATCTGTTTCTCATGATTTTGCATAGAGCAGAGTCACAAAAACTTTCGAAGTATGAGAGTGGATGCAGCAGGTGTATGCATTCCAGACTTGATGCTTCCTAGCTTAGAACACTCTTAAATGGAAAAGGTCAGCTCATGGTAGTGGAGAACTTTCATCTCGCACTGAAAGTTCCAACGGACTTCTCAGGTGTTTTGAAATGGTCCTAGTTGGATTTGTGGTGCATTACGTATTCATATAATGCTTTTGAACACAGACAACAGATTTGCAAGCTTCAGCTGCTTTGTCTGCTTTTGTTCCTTTAACTTGCAAAAACAGTTGGCTGTTCAGCAATTGTAAAAGACATTGCACAGAGTCAAATTCTGTTCCATTCAATATTGTATTCCATCATCTTTGTAATATGTAGTAATGAACATGCAACAGTTCACTTCTTTTACAGTGATCTGCTGCTAGGATCTTGTAAGTAGTAGCACTAACAAAGTACTAACACTAAGAAAATGTTTGAAAACAGTAAATAAGCATTTGGGCAACAGATTATGGTTATAGCACTTGAAGGAGACAATGAAAATGTTTCTACAGTTGTATTCCCTAGTTAAATTCTTTCTATGTTATTTTGGTGTATTTGGCTAAGTAAAATGATCCAATATCCAGAGCTGCTTTCTCTTCTTACAGGAAGCCATGTTTAAAGTCATCAAGCAATATTTCCCCTCTCAACGTGAGCTACGTCTTTGCTCATAGTGGGAGGTACTAGAGATTCCTAATCCGTCCAGAGTGAAACAACAGTTTGAGTCATCATCAGCAGAGGGATATCAGATCATATATCTTTGCTTGACAAGAGGTGGCAATTTAATCTGACAAGTTTCCTGCCAATGAGGGCAGCTTTAGGAGTTCAGCTGCCTTGACAGAGATTTGACATATCATTGAGGGATGTTGTGCAGAAGCCTGACAATAAACTTGATCTTGCTAATGCAGTTTAGGATTGCAGTAAAAATTTATTAGAAATCAGAGACTGTAAAATTACTGTTTTCTTCCGGAAATGTTTCTCTTTCCCTGCTGAATATATATGGGATGTTTAATGCACAGTACATGTTTAAAAGCTTGTTTCCTGATGATGTAAAACAAATCTATTACATGCCACATGAATTGGTAAGGGATTCAATTAAATGCATGTAAGAATAAAAATGTCCACTTGTAAACCTGTTTTGTCAAGGTATTTCTTTATGTTGCTGCCTTAAGAGGATTTGGAGATGTTATCAACACAGGAACAGTCTGATTCTCTATCTTTAGAGGTAGGTGAGATCTTGGATATTTCAAATGTAGGACAGACCTGCACTGTCTCCCTTCCTGAATTGAAGAGCAGCCCTCTTGAGCTAAAATGGCATCTGAATGCTGAATTGCTGTGTACCTTTTAGGAACTGTATTTATTTGGCTGCAGGGACACGTAAGTGGCTTGTTGTTTTCAGTGACATGCAAATCCCCCTTTGAAGTATGGAGAGCCCATGCAATTGCTTACTAGGTTACTGCGGGTCCTGGAGCTGAGCTTGCAGTCAGCTTCTTGGCAAGGCTGGTTTTTAAGTGCTCTTTTAACTCTGGCTGCAATCTAAACACAGTTAAAATCTTGGATTTGTTTCACTAAATAAAGCATTCCAATGTGAAGTGAAATCAAAAGCTATTTAACATGCAAATGAGGCATTCAAGTTTGATCTGGGGATTTTTTTTGGAGGTGTTTAAGATGGGATGTTCATTATCCCAAATGATGCAACAGCTCTCATGGCAGTTCAGCACTTTAGGATGTGCTGACAAATGCCATCTGGAAGGATATTAGTTATGCTTTCACAGAATTTGTGAATGAACTTCAGACTGTGAGGTGTTTTTTTTTTTTTTTTTAATAAAAAAAAGGTTAAGAAAACCATGAAGAATGTGCAGAGGTTCTTTTCAAGAAGTGTTCTAGGACATAAATTGGAGCCTTCTTGAATTGTTTCTCCATTAGCTCTTGAGAACTCTTGATTAAAGAAGCAGGTCTGGGTAGTGCACTTCTCTGTGGATTTCCCTTTAATGTCTACCTAGACAATTGTCTAGTTCTTTAAATTTCATGACAGAAAACAGTATGGTAGCTTGAAAATATCATTCAATGGCAACAGATGAATCATCATCATCATCTTTTCTTGCCATACTCTTCACGAATCTAGCTGAGGTGGATGTGTTGGCTGGACAGTTTATAATTGTGTTTGCACAGGTTTTTGTAGTTGTTCATCATAACGTGGGCCGCTGTGGTGTAACCTGCCAGGCAGCTCAGCAGCACACGGCTGCTCACTCACTCTTCCACAGGTGGGATGAGGGAAGGAATAGGTAGAAGTGGGAGAACTCAACATGGGTTGAGATGAAGGTAGCTTGTGAAGTAAAGCAAAAGCTGTGTGTGCAGGCAAACCTGAACCACGCTTCCATTTGCTGCTTCTCATCAGAGGCAGGTGTTCAGCCCCTCCCAGGAGAGTGAAACTCAGCATTCACAAGGGTTTATTGTGAAGATAAATGCTATCAATTCCAATGTCACCTCTTCATCCATATCCCCAGATTTACTTGCTGAGCGTGGAGCTGTATGGTGTGGGTTATCCCTTTGGTCAGCCTGGGTCAGCTGTCCTGGCTGTGTCCCCTCCCAGTTCCCTGTGCACCGCCAGCCCCCACTAGCAGGCAAAACAGGGAGCAGGAATGTCCTTGGCTCTGTGAGAGTGCTGCTCAGCAACAACTAACATGTCAGTGTGCTTCCTCTACTGTTTTCAGCACAAATCCCAAATGAGGCATTGTATGTGCTGCTGGGAGGAAAAATCTGTCTATCCCAGACAGAACCATGACAGTCATAATGCCAGAATTCTATGTCTTCTTTCTAATGATTACATTTAGTTGAAAGGGAAGAAAACTAAATGACAGTTTCTGTTCAGGTATACAGGAATACCTGGTGTATATGAGGTCTGGGAAAATCCAAGAGGAGTATGAAGCTGATTTAGCTTGTTGCATTGCATCCCTTTTGTTCTGTTAGTACAGAGAATATACTGACCTCAGAAGCTAATGAAAAGCTTAAGATGCCTTCAGAGAGTCTTTACAATGCCTTTCAAATGCATTAAAACTAATTAGAAAACAGAAATCAATCAGCCTGACACAGTGGCCAAAGTAAGTCAGGGAGAGTGTAAGAGTGAGCTGTGCTCAGCCTGAACCTCCTTGTTCAGGGTTTTCTTTGAACTTAATTTTGCTCTTGACAAAGACTGTGTAGCTGTAATCTCTCACTAGTTAAGCACTTAAGTAATCCTTTTAGCATATTCCTGGCATGTGCTGACATTGCTATTCTAGTCATATTTTAATTTGGTACGCTTCATGGCCACTGAAAGCAAATCTAGACAACTGGAATTTCACTGGGAAAGAGTCTTGAATGGGAATTCTATTGGCTAGGGTAGTTACTGTTTGTGATGGGCAACCGTTTTAATGTCAAAATTCCTTAGATACTAATACTCTGTAAATGATATGGGAACTTGAGATGTACTTAATTTTATGATGTTAAGCTTTATGGCATTCCCCATCCCTCCATCTCCTAAGATAGATACTTCCATGATTTAACAATGCAGAAAGCAACAAAGAGCAATGAGTGAGCTTTGTTCAATGCTAAGCTGTGCTAGATGGGATTGCTATTTTGACAGTGAACAAGAATACCCTGTTTTGTGTGTAGTATAACCACTAGAACATGCTCTTAGTAGATGATATTTTAAAATAATAAAATGCAGGTTATGCTTTTTAACTGAATATTGTTAAAATACAAATATTTAAATTGTCACAGACGTCGGGTTTTTTTGTAAGTCAAAAAGGTGTTTCTAACAAGTTGGTGGGTGACAGGTAAGGGAATGCTTATTCCAGTGGGACAGGGAGGGTGGAGAGTGGCCTCCTCTGTGACAAATCTTGTGGTCACCTATATATGTGAGTCTGTGGTTCAGCATGTTTGTGGAGCTTGGTCGTCTCATCCCAGGTCTTCAGTCACTCCCCTACTAGAGGGGGCCAGCGAGCTGCAGCAAGAGCAGGTTATCCAGAGAAGCACTCAGAAGTGCCTTGCTCAAAGTGTCTTATCCACCTTTTCGCTCTTTATTTGTTTGTCTCCCCTGCTGCTTCAAGGGGATCAGCTGCATGTTGCCAATTAGGCTCATCAGCATTGTCAATAACAGATGCGGAGCTCCTAGTAATCTCCCCCCTCCTTGTTAGTGGACTGTAAGGGCTTCTGGCTGTTTGTGATGAGACTTAACCCTTATCCCCCTACAGGGAGCCAAGCCACTCTGTCAAAGACCAGGAGGAAGGTTTTGCTTGTTCTGTATTGTAAGGGCTCCTTTCTGCCATCATAGCCCCAGTGGGTTTGATTAGACTCTGTTTTTAGCTATAGATGTCAGCTTGTGGGAAAACATAATTAATTTCAACACAGATCAATATGGAAAGGATATTTTAAGAACTCAGCTTCAAGCTAAAGGTAATAGCACAGACTTTTATTACCTGTCAAGCAGATCACTTGGGCATGTCTTGCATGCAAGCTGCAAGCAAAACTTTTGTTACCAGCCAGCATGCCGTTACAGGATAAGTCTGTAAGCATGTTCATTAGACAGCATGTTCAAAGACTCTCAGCTCTTGCAGTCATACTGTCATATTTGCTAAGGGCAACCCCTCAATGCATGCTCTTTATTTATTCCTGGATGAGGCACCTTTAGTGCTGTGGCTACTTTCCTCTTCCCAAGGGAGCGATTCAATTCAGGGGGATTGTAACACTTAGTGACTTCTGCAACCAAGTGGAAATCAAACCAACCTAGGCTAATTTTTTTCTCCTGTAAAAATCTGTCTTGCAGGGTACACCTTTTCTTGACAATTATTAAATATGAATGTGTTTTGGCATTATGTTGTGGGAAGGGGGAGGGAGTAGTCTGAATGTACTGAATGCCTGTGGTTGAATAAGGAATCTGCATGTTTATTTCCTCCCTGTTAATTTGGAGTGGGGGTAGATCTCAGCACAGCAACACTTCTAGTTCATGAGGAAACTTGGAGGCTTGCAGTGATACTGAGTCTGGATGATTGTATAATTGCTAATGGTCTTAAGATGTTTAGTGTCTGGAGTTGATCATTTGTAGGTGAACTCCACAGTATGAGACATCAGGATTTTTGTACATGACTGTGAACCCTAGAAACTGTAAAACTAACAGGTAAACAGAATCTCAGCGTTGGAGCAATTTGCTGGTTTCTCAACAGCAGATGGTGACAGGGTAGCACTTGTGGGCTTTTGAATCCAGGTGCCAGTGGCAACAAGCCAAGAACACTGGGAAGTGTAGCACAGAATTGAAATTTAAGTACTGTCTCTACGTATCTTTGTTTCTTTCTTAATTTAGAAATGAGTATAAGGAAGGCTGAAAGACTATTGCTAGTGGTAGCGCTTTCTGTATAGGTTTAGAAAAACACATACTGATCTGAAATGAGTAAGAACACTTGATGATCTGAAACACAGCTTTGCGTAAGGGCCCTCAATGCATTTAACTATTAAGATTATGTGTGTCTGGGGATCCTTTAGAAACTGAAGTAAGAATAAAACAAAGCACTTTGATGCATTTTTATTGATCCCTGCTTCGTTTCTTCGAAGCTGAACAGAACAACTCAAGTTTTCCTTCCGCTCAAAATTGGAGTAGAA